GATAAGGGCCATCTCGCTCTAGAGATGTGACCTGCTGCCACCAGGCTCTCACAGACCGCTGCCTGTTCTCTGTCACCAGGAAATGAGGCAGCTGCAAAAAGACCCTCAAATACAAAAACATATCTTCTTCCAGCACTTGGTCTTACGGCGTCCGAACTTCACATGAGGGGTGTTGGCAAAGTGGTGTCTTATTGTACAACCCATTTGGGCTTCTCAGAAACCTCGCCTTATGGAGTCTTTGCACATGTTTTAAGGACACACTGTAGGCCTTCTGTGGTAGCTACTCTGTCCAAAGCAGTACCAAAACCAGCAGTGGTTCCAGAGGATCTAACTTTCACAGGTCATTCCTGAAGTGCTTCAACTTGTCCCTCTGTTGCTCAGACTTTGGGCTCTCAAAGTTCATTCCTATAGCTGTCCTGTGTAACTTTGGCCGGTCCTGTGCTTCATGTTACTCCCATCCTTGAGTGCTGCATCTGCTTCTGCAAAGTCTGTATTGCAAGTCTTTGCTCGTAGAATCACAGAATCATTCAGGTTGGAAATGTTCTTTAAGATCATTAAGCTCAACCGTTAACCCAGCACTGCCAAGTCCACCACCAAACCACGTCCCTTAGCACCACATCTGCACGTCTTTTGAATAACTTCCAGGGATGGTGACTCAACCACCTCCCTGTGGAGGTGGCCTGTTCCAGAGCCAGACAACCCTTTTGGTGAAGAAAGTTTTCCTAATATCCAATCTAAACCTTCCCAGTGCAACTTGAGGCCATTTCCCCTTGTTCTATCGCTTGTCACTTGGGAGAAGAGACCAACCCCCATCTGTCTGCAACCCGCTTTCAGGTAGCTGTAGAGTGATAAGGTCTCCCCTGAGCCTCCTCTTCTCCAGGGTACACACCCCCAGCTCCCTCAGCCTCTTCTCACAGGACTTGTGCTCCAGACCCTTCCCAGCTCCATTGCCCTTCTCTGGACACGCTCCAGCACCTCCGTGTCTGTCTTGAAGTGAGGGGCCCAAAATTGTTTTTGAGGTGTGGCCTCACCAGGCATGTGTTGGCAGAACTCATGGCTCTAAATCAAAAAGCATTGCAAAAATTAAGTCTGCTTTGCTGAAAATTTTGATACTAAAGTAAACCAGAGGCTGCTGGATAAAGTCAAAACCTCAGACTATTTCTGGTAGTTTTCCTTTTGTGAGGTGTGCTACGTTCCTTAGTATTTATTCCACTGGTGTGGTGTGGTTCAGTCCAGTGTGGTTCTGCTTCTGGTGTGCCACCAAATTTAGGAAGTCTTTTCTGAAATGGAGAATCTTCTTTCCCAGATCACTAATAAACCACTTTTGGAAAGAATTTTGGGGGAAATACCCCCTCCCCCCAAATGTGCGGGAAGGCACCAGCAACTGTATTCCTGAAATACAGAAGTTAGAATTGTTTAAAAAAAACACCCCACATATTTAAATTGTAAGACCTCAGTGAAATGAGGGTAGCAGTCAGAGCTGGAAAAAGAAAAAGCGTTAGAAACTACATGAGATTTTACTTGGAAACTACTTACACAAATGACTTCACTTCAAAAAAAGCTATAGAAGTAAACCGATAAAATATTGCCTGGGCCCCCATAAATAAACCAAGCCAAATCAATTACTTTTCTGTCTATAAGTCATGAGCAATTTATGTGAGAGTGAACGAACAGAGGCACTTTATAATAAAGTGTTACCACTCCAACAACATTATTATATACAGCATCCAACTCCTGGAGCTAGGAAGCAGCTGCCTTTCTTCACAACAAGTCCCCATTCCTAGACAAGTATCGAGGCTACTCCATGTTTAGTGGCTGCATAAAGACAATTAACAGCCCCACACGTAAACAGTTACCAGTTTGTACAACTTATTTCTAAATTAGAGGGATTAAATATCAGAATGCTGCTCTCACAGCACAAGTGGCTCAGCAATCGCCACTGGAAAACGAACGTGCTGGTTAGCAGGGCCTGGAACCCGCAGGCTGCAGGGGGGAAGGCTGAGCAAACACCATCCTTCAGGGGGGTGTAAAACTGAAGCTGAACGGGTGGCAGCTCTAAGTTAATTCACCACGTGTCAGCTATCAATGTGGAAAATGGGGACTACACAGGTGGTTGTCTTCTTCTTTCCCTTCCTCTTCCAGCAGCGCACATGCTCCAGGGCTTTTCTCTGGTTCAGTAACTCGGTGCGTAGTTCCACGGACAGGTCCCTGCAGAGGAGAGGGCAGGAATTTGGGGTGATTTAGGTAAGGTTCGCAGCTGTGGTGCAGGCGGCCAGGATGGATAACCAACCCCTCAAGCCCCCTCCCCAGCTCGGTTGGATTGGTCGTGTCACAAGGGTTTGCCAGCGCAGGGCCTGGGCTGGACCAGCAGCAGAGCCAGGGACCTCAGGTGCAGTCGGTAGCTTTTACCCTAAATCTCTACAGCCAACTCCAACTTCTATTAAAGTTTTCTTCAGATGCTCCAGTTGCTTATAGCCATGAGAGAGCAGAGAAGAAAGCTCTTTCTTTTTTTGCATAAATACTTTATCTTTTAGCAACAGGATGCAAGAAATTTGTCCAGAGCCTGGTACTTGCTGTGAAAATATATTTCTGCACCAGTCTAAGGGGCGACGCTGAGCAAAAGTGATTTACAACGCTGTACTCAAGTGGCACTTTACGGTCCCGACGAGAGTAGCTGGTGCTCCCCGCTCTGTCAGCGAGTCAGGACTGTACGCGGACCTCGAGTCGTGGAGCTGCTCTTACTTGATGACTGTGGCTGTAGGAACAGGACATGGGGCTATCTTTGCCCCTTGGGCTGCAGACCCTTATGGAAAGCACAAGATTTGGTACAAAAGACTGGTCCTTGCTTCTGTCAGCTGCCCCAGAGTGCAGAGAAGCGTGAGGGAGGGCTGTCCTCCCCACGAGGTGAACCCCTTGCTCACCTCAAGTTCGGAAGTCAGTGCCCACAAAAACACTGCTAGCAAGAAGCCAGTCTAGCTCACAGGGTAAGGCTTAATGTGAAGGGAAATAGGTTATTAAAATATTTTAGGGGTCTTTGATATGATTATTACAGGGCCAGGATAGTTTGATTACATAGAGAAAAACTAACTCTGTGACAACACCAGGTTTTAACAAAACTTAACCACATGAATCAGGAAACTGCACTGGCTCTCCAGCCTGTTCTCCAGCCAGTTTTAGCTCCTAACTGCCGGGGGAGTGACAAAAAACAGCTAGACTCACCATTAGCTCTTCTTCTAGGTGCTCATCTTACTCCACAGACCAAATCAGAGGCAAACCACCTTCTGGGGCACACGAGACCAGAGGAAGGAGAACCAACTTGGCATTTCCAGCACTGCACCCCAACCTAAATGACATCCCCACAGTGGAGAGGGAAGGTAGCAGAATATTACAGCATAACCCACAGTTCCATCTGAGTCGCTTTCTGTTGTCAGCTTCGCATTTCGGGACAGCATTCTGGTAATTCTGTCATCCTTCATATATTTATTACTTATTTTCTGCAAAGCCTTTACGTTTTCCTAAGCAACGTCAGGAGCAAAGCACTTAAGTAGGAAGTTGGATTCCGTGTCCAAGTTCCTGGAACATGAGATATCAAATCACATACAAGTTTTGGTAACTCGGAGGGCTGAGGGCACTGCATTATCCCTCCCTGCCAGCTTGTCTTGCCTCGTAGCTGAGATTTTCAAGGCGTTGAGGGCGGGTGGATGTTGCCCTTCAGCAGCACTTGGAGGACTGGTGGTGTTTTCAAAAATCAGAAGCAAACGGAACTACTCTGCCAGAGGGAAGAACAAGGTCAATCATGCTATGCAAATCAGCTCTCTGTTGGAGAGAAAAATCAAAACAGAGGAACCTGCTACCCTCCGCCACAGATTGAACATGAATAAACAAAACATAATTCCTGCTTGATTTTATCACCAGAGGGGATGGAAGAGGAAAATATATGGGTGCAAAAATATTTAGATGAATACAGCAGTGACTTTGGAAACCTCTCAGTGCCTGAAAATCAAACTTGTCACCATGAAACCTTGCATTCTCAAACTAAGTATCCCCCATGCAGACATTGCTGAGAACCTCTGACCAACCATCAGACACCTAAACATCTTGCTTTTTGCTGGAGGCTACACAAGAAGTATCCTGTCTCTGAATACTGTTGCTATCCTTTTCTTGGGTTTTTTATTTTCAGTTCTTGACAGAAACCAGTAATGAACCAGAATACACCAGTGCTGAAGGTCCACCTGTCATACCTCAGGTCTGGTGAACAGTACTTGTACTTCGTAAGTTGTAACAACTTAGTAACTGATCTGTCAAAACAAGACTAATTTTAACTATGGAGCAATATTTACTGCAGATCTGGATGAAATCGGCAACTCACATGTTCCAAGATCTCACTTCCCTTCCCTGGGCCTGGGACAGTGACAAGAGCAGCAACAGGCACCACTGCAGGTGATGACTTTTACCCAGGCAGGAGCAGACCTGAAGGGCTGCACGGCTGAAGGAAACTTGCACTGGCAGGAATGAAAGTGTGAAATCCACTAAGCTACCACACAAGTCGTTGGTGCCAAATGCCTGAAAACCATTTCAAACATTTACAAATTATTACTTGATTATTCTACTCAATATCCTACATTAGCCGAGTGAAAACGACTGTGACTCCGGTGCTCATTGAGAGAGTGGACACCATGCCACGCTCATTTTCGGTTCATGTTTCACTCCCAGGAGCACAAAGGTTGAAAAGATTTTTGTTCCAAGTTGGAAAACCAGCAAGATAATTTTGGTTTCATTTATAGAACAGGGTAACCCAACGGACACAGGAGTTGTGTGACTGTTCCAATGTTCAGCATTAAACCTAATTTTACCTCATAGGTTACTTCCTACATTATCTGCTTCTCAAACTGTAACTGTACAACACTCACAAATATCTAAGGTTTTGATAAAATACCATGTTACGGAAGATTCCAATGACTTAGTACAGATTACTGTATATATAATAATGACAAGTCAGAGCATCACTAAGAGTTTATTCAGAAGCTTTTACTTTCAGTTCTTATATCACAAAAGACATGTTTAATGTTTACAACAAGTATTAGAAACTGAGATGTTTTTAGTTCTACTATTACAAAAGTAACATAGGAGACCGTTCTAAGCCATCTTCAAAATGCAGACCAATCTTTTTTTTTTGTATATAAACTGTACACAAAAACCAAGGCACTATACATTTTTGGATAATAAAGTATAAAGGTCGATTCGCATAGTTTCTGAAGAAATCCATGCTATAAATACAAATGCTTTGTTCAGTTTAGCACCTGAAGCAGCACTGAGAACAATTCATTAACTATTGCAAAGAGAAACTTTTCAGAGTGCGTAAGAGAGAGATACTGGTGGTATAGCTAACTCGGTACAAGCAACTGCCAACCAGCTACTTTTCTGTAGTTCTGACATGAAAGTCTTGAGAGTGAATATATATTGCATTGTTAAATACATACTTGTTCTATGTGTTTATATAAATATAAATTCTTTGTAATACACAAACTAACAAAATAACACTTTACAAAGAGAACTTCTTCAAAAACAAAAATGGCAAGTATTGTATATAGCCAAAGGACACCTGCAGCAGTAGCTCCAGAAACTACTGTTTAAGTGCATAGGAGAGCAGAGCTTAAACACATTACCTTTAAGAGTCAAAATTGAATTCCATTTCCGAAGAGTTCTCTTGGCCTTTTATAATATTACACACCTCCAGATAGGTAGTCACGAATAAAGTCGGATTCTTTCTATTTATTTGGTAAATGTGGGGTACAATTCTTCTAAAGGGCATAGAAAGTGAGAACAGACATCCCTTTAGTGCTCACTCCAACAAACACAACTTAGAAAAGTCCTTTTGCCTTCTTCAGATTAACCTGTTTCCAAGATGGCAGTGCATTGTACTCTTCCCTCGTCATCTCTAATGCAACCTGCATTTAAAACGAGAGGATGGGCCCTTAGTAAAAACACTGATAAGCAGCAAAACTGTGAAATGATGTCCCAGAACGGTCAGACACAGGTGTAGAGAGTAACAGTGCACCCACCGTCTCCTTACCTCAAAGTCCTCATCGCAAAGATAAATTTCAAGCTTCAGTGGATCAACTCCCTCGGGTAGAGGCCTAGCTAAGAGATCTGCCAGTGGATACACCGTTTTACACAGCTTGGCCAGCACATCCTCTACAAGGATTATCTGATTTGAAACATCAGCATCCTGTAGAGAGAAAAGGAAAACGGAACGCAGGATCACCATGCTGAAACCACCAACTGCTCCCGTTGGAGTCTGTAGGCGGCATGGGATCAACCTGCACTGCCTGGCCCTCGGAGCTCAAAGCCACACATCCAGGTCCCGCACGCAGGTTTACAGCCCTACCCTACAGCATCTTCATAGCTAAAACCAGGTCTGCACTCCACAGACGCACACCCTGTACGCTCAGAATCTCAGTGCAAGGCCAACTTCTGTGTTCAGTCATGACGCCAGCCCTTTCCACTAAGGAAGACCTAGAAAATGCCCTGTGCCTGGAGATGCCCCTTCCCTGGAGGCTTTTAGAGCCTTCATGACAGTCAGCTGTGACCCCACTTCCCAGGTGGGGAAGCCAAGGCTGGAGCTCTTGGAGCCAGCTGATCCTTCACGGGGCACTTCGAGTCTGGAGGACAGACAGAACTGCACATCACTGTCTCTTTCACACGACTGAAACAGCCGTTGTACTGAACTCCAGCGCACTGCCTTCTAAGGGCTGCTTCAGATAACACTGTCCTCCTGTTTTTAACAAAAACAATATGAGAAGTTACATGAAAAAACAGCTAGGAATGCCTCCGATATCCACACTCCCAGTCACAATTTGGCTGTGGTATTATTTTTTTTCCCCTGCACAGACTCCTGACCTATACTTTGTAAGTTCATCCTCTGGATTTTGGGGCTTGACAGCAGAAAAAAGCGGCGTTACTGACAACACAAGACACAATTACTAGCAACAGGAAACAGTCTGTGTAATTGAAAGATTTACCATTTCTGTGATCTCTGCGATGTCTTCTCTGTGTTCCCAGCTTGGGAACATATTAGTGAAGGTCAGAGGCTCTAGGCCAGCATGAATTAGGTAGGATTTGGGGGGCTTCTTTACATTTTTTCCTAAAAACAGTCAAAACACAAAAAAAGAGAAAAATTACAAATGGTTCTGTATTTTGCAGTATCCAAAGCTACCTCGTTAACATGTTTAATATGATCCATTCCTGAAAAGCTGAAGCAATTTAAAGCAATAGGAATAAATTTTACCAGGATTTTTTTATTTTTTAATGTAGTATGGCACCTTTTAACACGTTTTTCAGTCTTCTTAAATCTGCCTTTTACTCTATCTGACGACAAAGATCAAACCATGCTAAAAACCCCCCCCAATTACTTCCTAACACAACATATTTCTTATCTTACAAAAGCAGAGTTAGAGTAAGAAGAGTGTAATGGTCTGGAATTAGCTAAATTCAGGTCAATGAAACTTCCTGGTATGCTCAGCAGAAGTGTCCTGCCAGCAGAAAATAAAGCTTAAGCTTGAAGGCTTAATTGAGAATGTTTAACTCGGGATACTGAGGTCCAACACAATCATTTAGTTATTTCAAATTAAAAGGAATGAGATCTGAAAGTTTTTAACAGAGGTGTTGCAATAGCTGTTTGGTAATTGCTGATGATTCTCCACGACACTCCTGCTTCTTTAAAACATCAGTGTGTGCACACTCTACAGCTCATGGACACAACCCTGCCTAGGAGGGATGCTGTATCAGATTAGTGGTTAAAGTCATTATACCCCATACTGGTGAAAAAAGGCCCTGTTGATTGAATGATTTCATTCACCAAGAATTCAAAAGCACGGATAAACTCCAAAAATTGTTGGAAAGAGGTAGATGGGCAGCCAGGGACTGGGAGGAGCTGTCATTCAAAAAAATATTGTACCTTCCTCTTGGATTCAAACAAGGCCAGGCTGGACGAAGCTTTGAGCAACCTGGTCTAGTGGAAGGTGTCCCTGCCCATGGCAGGGGGTTGGAACTAGATGATCTTTAAGGTCCCTTCCAACCCAAACCATTCTGTGATTCTATAACTCATTCTCATCAAATCTTTCTTCTGGGCATGTAATGGAAAAGCTGAAGGTGTTGCAAAGTCCAGAATCAGGCGAAACTAAGAGCAACATGATACCACCTCAGAGGGCAGTAAGCTTCCCTAAAAATGGCTTCTTGCAAAATTCTGTTATTTTCTACATCCCACGTCAGAGCATCTTCAGTGCAATGAGACTTCCTCCACAGCGCATAAACCCGTGACAGAACTCCCTGGTTTTTACTGTAGTCCCCACCTGCACTTCACACCTGGCTGTCAGGCAGGAGGGTCTAAAAAGAACGCGGCCCCCTCCGCCCCACTGCCGAGCAGCCCCCCGGGGAGCCGCGGCAACACCTGTGCTGAATGCCAACGGAGAGCCTGGCTGGGCAACGCTGTGCCCTCATGGTTGCAAAACCTGACTGGTACAGGTTTGGCTTCACAGCAGGTTGGGACCAAACTGATTGGAGACAGTAGGTTCCCAGGAACCTCTGAACACTAGGGGTATGGGCTCTGTGGAGCAGTCTAACGAACGTATGACAATGTGCGTGCTTCAGTGACACAATTTAGGCAGGAGATCTATCATTTGCATACTTGACTTTAAGCACTGTCTTCCACATATTTTTCATGTTTTATTTGTTCATTCTACCATGAATGATTCAACAAGCACTTAAAACCTTTGCATTTAAAAAGTACTAGTGAATCTCCTCTAGCTGCATCGCTCTGCTAAGTGACTCAGCCGACAGGTAACAGCAGAGCGGTGTTTGCTTATCTTCCAGTACAGGTAAGAGGATTTTGTATCTAAGTGGAGAAACATTTCCACTGCATGAACTCTGGCCCCAGCACGAGCTGATCTCCCCACCAAGAATCACTGAAGGGCAAACCAGGCTCTTCCTTCTCCTGCAGTCTGCAGCTCAGCTCCCCAGACTGCTGATTCAGCAGATAAAACCACAGAAAAACTTTCAAGACATTTTGACATGTTAAACAAGATTTATGCACAAAGAGAATGGCTAGGTATATTCAAGGGATATCCAGAGTTGCTAATCAGTCTCTTTCGTACCATCATGTAGTTAAAAACTGCAAGCCAGGAAAAGAAAGAAAGAAAAGAAGGGAGGGAGGGGAAGAAAGGGACATAGATGAGGAAAGAAACAGAGAGAGAAAAATAAGAGAAAGGCATTTTAATGCTTCTGATTGCCCAACCATATTCTAGTAGTCAAAGTAATTGCAGCAGCATTGGTATCTCCTGAAATTCAATTTCTCCACCTTGATAAGTACCAACACCTAAGAGCTAGTCAGCCCTGACAGCTTGATGCAATGACATTTTGAAGTGGTTGACAGAATCCCAGACCATGAAAGTGACAGACCACTAGAACAGCATAGTTTGAGCAGTAAAAAACTGCTGGAGAAGTTCACATCAGCTTTAGCACAGAAACCGTACAGGTAGAACCGGTCTTTAAGAGTAACACACTTGCTCTGTACCTATCCAACCACACAGCCCGAAGTGCCTGAGAACCACTCCCTGGCAAAGAGGATAAAGCCACATCGGCTGCAAACTCATGGCCAGCAGTAAAGCAGGGAGCACCCAGCAAAAACACTTGTTCTGTGATACATAGGACAAACTTCAGACGCATGAGGAGTCACCGGAGAGCTTTCTGCTGTGCATCAAACTCAGATCCAGCAAATTCAATCCCGTGCATAAGGTATTAATCCCCTTTCCCATGATCAAACTTGAAGTTCAAGAAATCTGGAAAAGTATCCAAACCTCAGCATGTGTATTTGATTCCATCTCTGCTGGGGCCAGAAAACATGATTTTTATTACCAGAAGACTACAGCACTGCATCAGGAACACTGAGAACAGGATCTTACTTCCATCTCTCTCACTAGCCTGCTGAGCAACCCTGGGCACTTCATTCCATGGAGCTCTGTTCCTCCATGCTGACATTCACCTCTGCTGTGAAGCACATCACAGGAAATGATTTCAAAGAAATGCATCTTATCACTCCTGACTTGCAAAACCTGGGTTGGGGGTGGTGGAGAACAAGTAACTGGCCTCTTCTTTAGGAAGTCAGCAGTCGCTGCCAAAGACTCTTCCAATTACTGCCATCTTTAGCATCCCATTCCTAAACAAATGCTGCTGCGTGGCAGGACAGGGACAGCAGGGGCTGCACCATATAGAGCAATAATGCAGCTCAATAAAGATCACGTTTCAGTGTCTCCAGTACTGGTTTTCCAATGTCTCCTGCCAGGTGCTACCACCTCCCCTGAGTGACACAAGACAACTGCATAAAAACCCAACGCTTGCTCTGACTCCTATTCGACCTGCAGACTGGGAAGGAGAGACTGGCTTATCCTCATAAGGGTGGAATCCAACAAGGGAATCACTGCCCCTCTTCAAATATACAAATGTCTAGGGGGAAAAAAATCATAGTTACCACAGGCTATGTCTGTTGTAAAGTTTACTTGCTACAGAAGAAATCATCGAACGATTTGGGTTGGAAGGGACCTTAAAGATCATCCAGTTCCAACCCCCCTGCCATGGGCAGGGACACCTTCCACTAGACCAGGTTGCTCAAAGCCTCCTCCAGCCTGGCCTTGAACACTTCCAGGGATGGGGCATCCACAGCTTCTCTGGGCAACCTGTTCCAGTGCCTCACCACCCTCTCCATGAAGAACTTCTTCCTGATATCTAACCTAAACCTCCCCACTTTCAATTTAAACCCGTTACCCCTTGTCCTGTCACTACAGGCCCTTGTAAAAAGTCCCCCCCCAGCACCCTTGTAGGCCCCTTCAGGTACTGGAAAACTGCAATGAGGTCTCCCCGGAGCCTTCTCTTCTCCAGGCTGAACAAGCCCAACTCTCTCAGCCTGTCCCCATAGGAGAGGTGCTCCAGCCCTCTGAGCCTCTTCGTGGCCTCCTCTGGACTCACTCCAACAGTCAATATCCTTATTATGTTGGGGGCCCATAGCTGGATGCAGCGCTGCAGGTGGGGTCTCACGAGAATGGAGTAAAGGGGGAGAATCACCTCCCTTGACCTGCTGGTCACGTTTCAGTGGCATCATGAGGTCTCAACGTCTATAACCGATCAGGCTTCCCTTGCAAGAGGACATTGTTTGCCCCATTTAACCCATAGTGACTTACAGTGGGAAACTGCTCTGAACTACCAGAACATGGCTGTTACTTATGCCCTCTCTCCTGGATGGTAACCCCACACCTTTCTTCATTCATCCTCCATCAGAAGATGCAAGGTCTGTTCCCAGCCTCACATAACCTTAGATGAAGTGAGAGGAGAGCATTACAGTGTCTCAAGGGCACTTTACTAGCGCAGAAAATAAGCTGGTCAGTGTATTCTTACATGATCATCAACTGCAGCTTGAACCACCCCACTCTGAGTGGTAATAACTTTGTCTTGTAGGCAGAGCATTTCCAGCATTTCCAATGGCCACCTGTTTCCGTATGAGACTTCATCTTCAAAGTCTTTCCACCTCCCCCACTAAATGAAACCCCAGTTACATCAGCAAACAGTATCTCCATTCGGCCTACTGATACACTTGAAGCTTAAGAAACCTAACAGGAGCTAGACAGAATGCATTCAGGTTTAAGAGGCTGTGTTTTCAGAATTCACTTTTAGGGATCTATTGTCTGAACTACTCTCCCACAGTCCGGACACAGAAGAGAATTAAAGCCTTTCCTCTGAGAATTCAGTCAGCAGAGTATGCTCACAATTTGGGAACAATGCCATTACTACACAAATGATTTGCTAAGAAAGCATGGAGAATCTGCAAATACACTGATGTTTATCAGTGCCACTGGGGAAGCCCCTGAGGACCTTTCAGCTTGGAAGAGTAAGGCATGGAAAGGTAGGACACACTCAGAGCAGCCAGGTGCAGCAATCTGTTACCTTTGCAGTACCGGAGCACCGTCTCCATGGCGCATTTCCTGTCTGTAGCCCACCTGATTCGAGCTGATCCAGCAATTTTGTTCTCCACAGGCCACCAGCCTTGCCACAGGTACACTTCATGGTGATTGTCAACAAGAAACAGTGCTACACAGCCAAAAAATAACAAATCCATCATCAGCCACTTAGCAGTTTTTGGAATCCCCTGAACAACCCTGGTCTTACATGCTCGTCAGCATCAGGACAGGATCATTTCAAAGCTTACTAATCCCTTTTGCTATTCAAACAAACCTCAGCTGAGATGAGATTCTCTGATACAAATGATGTATTTTTATAGCAAGCTTTTGAGATACATGCATGTTTTGATTAGTTCTCAGCATCTTTATCATGGAAAAATTACTGTTATTGCTTAATGCTGTATTAGTATCCCATGCACACATTTTCCTGTGATAAATCAAGCTAAAAGTGACAACAGTTACTGAATCAGTGCCCAGCACAGGATAGAGTTATCTGTTTTCTTGTTAGTTAAGCATTTTAAAGCCTATACCTGGCTGCGGGGCAGTGTAAAGATCCTCTTGCAAGAATGGCATGGAATTGATGACAGCAGGGTCTCTTGAAGGGTAAACATACTCGGTGGCTGAGAACTCTCCTGATGAACTACTGAGGCTGAACAGGCGGGGGGTGAAGTTAAACTTTCCAGGATCTTTAAAGAACAAAAATGGAGAAGATTTCTAATAGAAAATGCCAGAGATTAATGTAAAAAATAAAACAATAATTTTTTAAAAATCATCTTTCAGAGTGACTGTAAATTCTCTGTTTTTTGAAAAATCAAGAAAGACGAGCAGATGTCTTAGGGGACGAGGAACAGCTGTGAAGAACTGAGCTAAAAGGCTGGCTGCCATCAGCTTGAATATGATCCTGGCTAGTTATTATCAACCATTTGATAACTGGCTGTTTTGCAGCTTAAATGAAGCAAGCCTGTCTCTGAATTTACTTTTTAGCTGACACATTTTCCACTTGGTAAATCAATCCCCCTGCTACCTTTGTTGGCAGTTTCAAAGCAAAGTCTGGACGAGACTGTGTACAGAACTGCCTCCTAAATCCCTTCAGAAGAGAAGCAAAATGCGTTGGTAACGGCACTAGCTGTTGCTCTGTGCTGCGTTAACACAGAGGGGCTGCAAAAGGGGGAAAGAACAAAATTAAACACTCCGTTTTCCAGCACTTTCCTTCTAGAACAGTATTACTTAACAGTAGATTTTTGGAAGCATCTCTCTGAAGGGATCATCTCAGCTACCAAGAAGTTCTTCAAATGCAAAGTAAAATGTGAGTGCCAAATCCAGGAATGCAGGTCCTACCTTGCAACATGCAATCATAGGCCTTTCGATCTCTCCTTCCTAATGCATCCCAGAATCCCAAGGGCTCTGACCCTTCATCACATTCGTGTATCGTCACCTTGCTGCTGCTGTGCAGCCCTGCCTCCAGTGGACATCTACAAAACACAAAGAGAGAGAGTGAACCCAGTTTCCCTGACCCGAACACGGCTAACGCAAGCCCGCTAGCCACTCATGTTACTAGAACCCAAACACACCCTAGAGGCTTGTTGCACACTTCATGTCAACTGAGGCTTTTTGAAAACGATGGCAAAAAGTATCAATAAACAAGATCTGGAATTTCAGCAACCGTTCTCCTACCGTTTGTGATCCCACGTTCCCACAGTGGAGGTGATGCTCACAGGAGCTCTCAGTAGGGATTCTCACTGCCTGTTTTTGTAACTACTGCTGTCCTCCTTGCATGCTTTCCCAAATTCCTCTTCCTTATTCACAAGTCTTGATTCTAACACTCCTATCAACTGGGATTTAATTTGCTATTCAGATATGGAGCATCTCCCTCCAAATGGGAAGACGTCTTTTTTTTTTTTTTTGGCAAACTTTAATTAGTACAGTAGGAAGAACAAGTACGTTTGACCTTAAGCAAAAGTGATCACAGAACACGGTTTTTCCCCACTCCACCAAATCAACTACCCGTCATTCCTCCTCCTCACCAAGCATGCACATGCTGCCATTGTACTCAGAGGACAGCTTCAGTTATTTCAGCTTTGAGGCAGACTATTTTACGTAAATTGGTAGCTTGTAAAAACATCTCCAAAATGTAGGTCAGACACTCACTGTTCTTTTATTTTATTGGCTGCTGTTCTTCCTACATCCTTGGTGTGAGATTGTGCTTTGCAGCCATGCCACAGGTAGATAAGAGCCTTATTTATATTGAGGACAATCATGGATGTCCGGGAACGCAGGCTGCTGCAGTGACATGCTACTTCAAGTAAGTTTCCTTCATTGGGAACTTCTCCTCGCACGCAATATAGCCTCCAGTCACCTGGAGCAGACAGGAACAGTGCAGCAGTATTACACAGTCACACGGGATTGGAAATTCAAGACCTCTGCTCTGGAACAACTGCTCTCATACAGCTTCACATCTTGCATGCCTGTACTGTCACAGAATAAACTGGCTAAGCATCATGTTTGGCTAACACCAAGACACCCGCTTGCAGAAAAGATGCCTTCTGAAATCTTGCTAAAAGAGTACAAGTATTAAGAGGTGAAGAGCTTAACAGAGCAGAAGAGTCAAGTTTCTGCTCTGTTTCATCCAGGATAAAAAAAAAAAGGGAAACAAATACAGTAGTCCCTCTATTCAGCTCCTCTTCCCCTGTGCACCTTAGGCATAGGAGGTCACAGTCAGATGCAAACTGGAGCATGTCCAAGCTACACTTGCATTTAAATTTTCCTACCTCAACTGCAGCATTCAAGCAATACGTTGCAAAAAATAATGAATAACAAAAGCTTAGAGCTCTCCTTGGAGCAGGAGCACCGCTCATAAAAATACTCTTTTGCCCAGACTATGTAGAAAAGAATGTATATTAAGTGAACAAGCACTTTGCTTAATTAAAAAACAACTAGAACAATTTATATGCGTATCAAGACAATGAAGTCAGCTTGCCCTAGGGTGACAAAATCCATTCTATGCTCAAAAAGAAACAAACTACCTTGAAACAAAGCATTGCAAAACTGTCTCATGGGCTTCATGGCATTAATTTCCCTGTTCTACACTTTATGGCAGTTGAGACTGAATTCAAAGCCCTTCACAATAGGTGAAAAAGGATTTGGGGGCAGAAGATCTTAACTAACAGTAATTTACTTTGTGCATTTTCTTCTTCCTCTTCCCTTCTTCCAGCATGCACAATCATCCCTCCTTGGAAGCACTGCAGGAAGCACGGTGGTTCCTTCCCTTGAAGGACTTGTACCTGGAAATTGAAAGCACCACTCTTTAAAAAATGAACTAAGCATACAGACTCAGGAAAACTAGTCTCTATGGATTATTAAAGATTATACAGTTATGGCCACCCATGAAGATGGCTCTCCTTCTACTTTACAACTGCTGGCTGTTTTTTCAATTACCCTATATATCAGCATGCAATGGGTTTCATATGTGACCTGCATATTAAAAGAAACTTCTACCTAGACTCCAAAAATAATTTCCGAGGATAAGGAATACCAAATAAACTTTAAATTAGTTTAAACTATTATTTGAATTCTTTACAGGACTGGGCCATCTTACCTGATGCTCTTTGAAACTATTATGGAGATACTATAGGAACCGGAGTAGGTTCAAAATTCGCTGTAAAACCAGTTTATATGGCAACATGCATGTTCTTTGCTCATTAAACGTTGTATTTTGACTAAGAAACGGATACAGCCAATTGCTACATCAGCTATACTGCACAGAATCTCACACTCGGAATCCAGTGTATTTACGTACGTCCTCTATGAACTCCTGTTTTACTGGTCTTGTCTACGCTGCTGTTAAAGAACTAATTACAGCATTATCAAGGTACAGAAACCAACTTTAAACCTCCCACCTTGTATTCTGGTAACAGTCAAGCCACAGCATAGCCCAGCTCTGTCTAAACGCAAAGCAAGCTGGGCTGTCCTCTGTTTGAGCTTCAGACTAGCTGCCTCTACAGTTGCTAAAATCTCTGCAATCCAAGCCAATCTAGTCCATAATTACAGAGTAAACGAATTGAAAATTTCAAATGTATTTTCATGCCCTGGCCTGGCAGAAAGTGCTTGTCTCGTTCTCACCTGCAGGAAGACAGTCCTGTTATCTGAACTGTAATTGGAGTGAAGGCACAGATCTGTTTAACTGTGCTTCACCCATTCTGGCAGGGAGGGGAGAGAAGATATTCTTCTGCAGCCATTCTGAGAAATACCCTCTTTAGAAGTGGGATTTGGGAATGACAATGTGTCATGTGACAACGTTTTGAAGCTTATGTGTCTCTGGAAGTTGGAAAAAAGCTAAAAGTAATTTGGGGCTCTGGCTATTTGTACTGCCAAGAAAACCTTTGCAGAAAGGGAGGCAGTACAAAAGATAATGTGTGTTTACTGTGTTTACTGTTACCGGCCCCCCAGGCAGGCAAGTCATGGCAGGGCTGCCACCTGGGCCTGCAGGAAGCTCACCTGTGCTCCTCTCTCTTCATCAAGCTCCACTGTCATCAGTGCCGATGTCCCTTTCTCACTTACTGTGGAGTGCCTTCCTTGCCAAAAGAAATACACACATTTCTCTTTTCCAACAGCTCGTACTTGTTGCTCTCCTTTTTGCCTGCTTCCAACTGCAAAACAGAAAGCACACACTGAAGAAACTACCCTGGCTATAGGTTTAAACAGCACATGGTTTAATCTCATCTGCCAGCTCAGCACTATCCCATCCAGAACAGGAAAGATATGTGCAATTGGAGGAACATTAGGTCTCCAAGTCAGTACGTCCCTGTGCAAACTTGGCATTGTCTCACCAGGCGGATGTAAGCCCACAGGCAGAGATGCCTGGGTTGGCCAACAAAAGTGATGTAGAAAGAACTATCTGGAGAAAAATAACTGACATCGCTTGAGCCAGTTTGCATGTGAAATGATATGTCCAGTCATGTTACCAGAAGAGTGCATTATGGCTCATTTTCCACATTACACACTGTTCTTTGGCAGCAGGAGAGTTGCTGGCTGCTGAGTGATACTGGAAACAGCAACGGCTGAAAAAGCTAGAAGCATAAATGAAAAGTCTTTCTTGGTAAAGTGATATTAGAAAGGAAATCTACAGAACAAAAGAACATCAAAGCAGTATTTTGCAGTCCTAAAAAATTGTCATTATGTAACCTTTATTTATTTATTTATTAGAATCAACTCAGTATTTCATGTTGCTCTGGAAAGCAGGTTAGCAGCAACCTTTTAAAAAAAGACTGGTGTTTAGCTGTTACAATAAGCAAATAATGTTTATAGCAAGTGTAGTTGAACGATACCACCAGTTATGGAATGTTTTACTCTTTCCAGTGAATACTGAATAAACAGATCTAATTAAATCAAAGATTTAAAAAACCCCTCAAGAGCTGTAAACCAGATTCTTAAAAAAACCCAAAAAAACCCCCAAACTATTAAAACTTCTGCCTTGATTTCAGCGGCCCTGAGCAGGATCCAACTGAAATACTTAGGAGAAACCATCCTGGTTTTTTTTCAAGTGGAGAATACTCAAACCACTGATCACTTCTACAATTTATGGTTTTCACTCTTATCTGTACATTCAGCCCATCAAAGTACTGCCTCCTACATAAAGAATTATTTTGTTTTGGAGTGATGGAATATATTTTCATCCGTTTGGATTAGGAGTCTGTTTACAGTTCAGTGTCAGTGTTACCCATTTCTCCCAAGACTTACAAACTTCTGTATTTTTCTTGGATTTGCCTGTATCTGAACTCAACAATCCTGAATAAGACCTACCTACATTTTTTGGCAAGAAGCCTGAAGCTGTATAGCAATTATACTGCTTTCAACCACTTTTAATATCTTCCTGTTTGGAACAATAGCTTTTAGAGTATTTCTAACCACAAAAGCCACCTATTCTTCGTTTAATATCAGAAGGGAGAGTTCCAATGAGCATACCGAGCTGACTGATTCTCAACATTTACCTGCTGCTCTCAGGGTCTTTGTCAGAACGCTGCTAAAGTTTTCCACTTGAGGCTGAAACCCATCGCAAAGGGTTTCCAGAAGCAGCAAAAAGGACAGTGAGGGCAATGAGCTGGCAAGGGCTCTTCCTGCCATTGTTACTGTTCTCCATTACCCAGCAAAGGCTTTCCTTGTTGCTAAGCCTACCTCTCTTGCAAGCCATTCAGACCACTGTCATTAGTCCAGCTGCCTAGTAATTTTGGTGTTAAGCTGTGGGCCCAATTCTGGCTTAATGAGCTGTCCTGTGAACACGTACAACACCACTGTTGGGTAAAAGGAGAGATGGACAGTGTTACATTTGACGTATGAAAAATAACTGCAGCTTCTTTATATTATTGCTTTCTTTTAAACAAAATAAAATAAAAACCTCTACTTCTTAATGGCCTAGGAAGGCTAAATTAGCTTGTCTAACCTTTAAAACAGTTTCACATCCAAGGAAGTCTAGGACTGGATCTCACCACTGACAGCAGCAGTTTTAGCTGCACTTCTCTGTGTTTCAGTAGGATGAAATGGAATTGTTCACTAACCTGTAGTGCTCACCATGTACTTCCACTTCACCACGTATGTGTCTCCCTCATGGAACTGCCCTATACTTTGCTTAGGCAGTCTACTATAATCGAATTCCAGGATGTGCCAGACATCCACAGATGCAGTGATAATTTCAAACTGCCTCCCATCATCTCCTTCTACAAGTCCATAGCCCCGGCCAATGTTCATTCCATCCAAGACCGTGCCTACAGTTGTTTGGGGCACAGGTACCATTAGCATGACATCATATGGTTTAGAGTCAGATCTGGATTCTTCCTGTCAAAAAACACAGAAGACGTTTCTTTGAGCACAGTTTTTTTCTTCTTACCCCACAGTTTCACTCAAACATTTTGACTCCTGCATATTCCAGTACTTTGATATCTTGTCATCATTCGATGCCTTGTCAAAGCCACTTTGGTTTTGGTACTCACTGAGCTGCTCAGTACTAATATAAAGCAACTCTGTGGGTTCACTGTAAGTGGTGATGTCCTGACCCCCAGGTCAAAGCCCGCAAGGTTGAGACAGCAGTCTGGATCCCTGAGAACAAGCTTCCCTAGCTTCCATCCCAGTTAGGTCATCTAGACTGAAATATCTAGCATGCTTATTATATGCACCTTCTGGTGAAGGGATTCACTAGCATTCTTCTCATTCAGTTTCTTCAGCTCGGTCCAATCGAGAAATTTTTCTTTGAAGAGTATGGTCTCGTTATGTTCTGTGAGTCTGCCAAACACAGCCCAGTCTGGGCGTCCTTGTCCCTTTCTGTACGGAACAAAAGAAATAAAACAAAACACAGTGAAAGGGCAAGAAAACTAAGTTTCTGCAATGAGACTAAACTCAAGTTTTGATACCTGGGTATGAGGGGATTGCATTCCCCTGGGTCCAGAGGATTTATGTCACAATTGGAGTAGTCAAAAGTGCCATTCCACAAGTGTTTCGCCAGCTGGAACGCCACTTTTCTTTGTGCTAAAGTAACTTCCTTTCCATGCCACACGTACACTTCACTGCCAAAATCAAACACCAGCACCTAAAAACCAAACAAAAGAAGAACCTACCATTAGGTTAGGTGATCCTCCAGTTTCCTAGTGCTGCAAGCTGACGGTGTGTTGAACACATACCCCTCCAAATACCTGAATCTCTGCAGTGACGCTAACAACTAGCACTGCAATGCAAGTAAAGCCAGGGCAGTGGTCTGCACTGTGATGTCCAGTTGTTGGGGATGACTGGAAACAAGTATGGGGAATCATATGAGGGGTATATCTAGGTGGTAGCTAGGTCACTAGCATATTAGGGCTCTTATTACTAAAAATCTGATTCTGTTGCATGTCCGATTGCTGTCCAGTTACAGCAGCTTTCACTGACATTTAAACTTATGCTTCACCCTGCAGCCAGGGAAACAGGCAGAAACTTGAATACCTTCAAGAAAATTAATTGTGCCTTTATTTTGGAAATCTGCTATCATTTCTACTGGGATAGGTGAAATGGCTGAAAGGGAAAACTCTGCTCAGCATAGAAATAATCACGCCTGAAAGGGAAAACAGGTTTTTATTTTGTTTCGTTTTTCTCAAGTGCTACCTGTTCTGCACTTCATGACTTTGGAGTGAGCCACTGCTGAGAAAAAGGTTTACACTTCCTAAAACAGTATTTCACTTTAAAGATAACAGGATCTAATTTTTGAGACCTGCTGCACACTCTAGACAGCAAAGTGTTCAGAAGCTTTTCAGAAACACTGAGATTTCAGTGAGCCTCTCCATGTGCATTTGCAGTTACTGAAAGTCGTTATCGGCTCTATGTTCCTGCACTTACCACAGGAGCAGTAAGTGGCACGATACCTCTTTTGGTTGTAGCAGGGTACATTTTGGCACCTTTCCCCAGTAGTCATCCTCAGGAATGAGTTTATCCTCTACGAGGCGATAAATGCAATTTGTTTCTATTATTGCAGCTTCATACATTTCATCTTCTTCAGGATTTCCAGCAGCTTAAGGAAAAGATTGTCAAAAAAGTTTAACATCCAAATATCCTTACTAAAGAGAACTGACTCGATCATTTTACTGTGATAAAACATCAGATATGGTAACTGTAAGAATGCTTACACTGGTAATTTGTCTGTCCACCAAGAAGTTTCCAGAAGTCTTTGGCTGCATGGGTATGGGTATTTATTCCTTCTTCTATAGTCTGTATATAAGAAGCTCTACAGCCAAGTTCCCTCTTTGTCTGAATTAAAGTTGCAAGTTCTGAAGCCTAAGAGATGAACAGTTATCTGAACAGGATTGTTTAAGTCTTTGGAATACTTGCACATATCTTCTTCAGGGAGAAGGCAAAGGGAGATAGAATATAATAGAGCAAAGAGCAGGAGAAGTTATTATTTGTTGCACTAAATAAACAGACACCAGAGAAAACGTAACAAATACATTCATTCTTTCAATTGCCTTAAAACAAGACGTGATGTTAACGAACACGGGAATAAAAAGGACATCCTGCAATTCAGACTATTTTTTGTTTGAGTGCAACTCTGTTTCCTGAGGATATCCTCTTTTCTCTTGCAGCTTCGCAGCCTACACACTCCTATGTCAGCTTTCATTCAGTGCACAGGCTAAACCATATTTACAGGAATCCTGCATATCTACCTGCCACATGCCACTTCCAAGGCTCAATTACATCAAAGAGACATACGCTGTGACAGATCTAAAAATAAATAATAAAAAACCCCCAGCTAGTACTAACCTTTGCTTTTTCTATGACATTTGCAAACTCTCCTACCCATAAGAAACAGACATGGGGAGTTAACAACAGGAAACAGTCTCCACTGTTCAGTGACGAGGCCCTTGGTTCAACTAATCTTGTTTGAACATGTCTTCTTCCTAAAGAGAACACAAATCTAATTATAATCCTTTGACTACTGCTATCAAATGCCACGATCTAATTTATTTTGAATGAAATACAAACAATCCCAGCACATTTAACAAAATATATGGAAACAGACTGTTAAAGAAGAATGAAAAAACGTTTGTGGAAAAAGGGTTTACTCACAGGGAGTAAAATAAAAAAAATAAATGTTGCCTCCTATCAACTAATATTTATACTATTTCCTGCTCTTGCTTTAACAACTTTGTGTCCTTCTGGAAAGAAATAAATCAAGTAAATGGCAGAGAGCAGCAAAATTCCAAAATCTTCTACATTTGCTGAAGCGAAGCTATGGCACATTTTCTGTAGGCAGTAAAAAGTTTTAAGAATTTTACTTTGCCAAAAAATAGCTGTTATTTTGCAGAATCAGATACATTACCATGCACTGCGAGGGGAAGTGGAGCAAGAACACTGTCATGTCACTTCCAAGTTATACTGAGCAGTGAAGAATGGGACAATTCAAAAATTTCCACAGGAGATGGCCAGAATTCCTCAAATATTTTTGTTTTTTCCTTGAAGACACACACCAGTGGCCACAATACAAACCTTGCTGTAAGGTTTTGCATTTGTCACACAGTTCTCGCTTATTCTTTTATGTTTTGGACATAAATCTTGAGCTGGACACAGAACAAGATATGCATCCAACTGTGGTAGCAACTTCTGTATGCTACAATCAGCCTATTATGCACAGACAGTAAAAGCATTTACAGAGTCACAGAGTGGAAGGG